TAAACCCCAACAGTGAGCACATGGGGATTGGATTCTGTACCTCTGTGTCAGCAAAATTATTGACTTAATTCCAGTATTTACCCCTGTGCAAAAGCAGTGGGATTGCACTGGTGTTACTGGAGGCAATGGGTCACTTGAGATATTACCACAGTTAGGAGTCAAGGTTTTGGATTTTTTTCTCCTGTACTTGGCAAGGTGTTTGTAACCTTTGTGGCTAGGGACAGATATTCAAAAACCCTGAGCCTGAATTGATTCAACCTTTTCAGGTTAGTCCAACCTGGCTAGGCTGAACTGGTTTATAACTGCACAGACTGGACTGAAGAAATGCTGGCACATGCCTGCAGTGGCACAGGCTAGAAGCCAGAGGGTGCTAGAGGAGCTTTCCCTTCTCTTCCAGAGTGCTGAGCTGAGTGGGGCATGACCAGGCCCCAGCAGGGTGCTCTTGTTAGGGAGGGGATCCCCCCCCATTTGCTGTTGATAACTGATTATTGAGAGACACAGCAGGGAGCTGCACAGGGAGTTGTTAGCTTTTATCAGCCCATCAGCAAAACAAGAGCCTTCAAGCTCTTCTTAAACAATTTTTTCTAAGGAAGGAATGGAGGAACGTTACCAGCTACCTGTTTATTAGCTTCAAAAAGCCCTAAGCAGGTACTGTTGTGTCTGCCTTTGCCTTGTCTCCTGTAGCATGGACCATAGCCAGCATGTGGTCTGCTAGCTAATGCTGAGAGGTGTCTGTGTAAGGCAGAGGGGACGGGAGAATCCCTGTTTGAGCAGGGAGGGGTTGGGGGAGGAGGGGCAGAAAGGGAGGAAGCCTGCTGTACGTACAGTCTCTGCCAGAGCTGCAGCCAGGGAGCAGAGGGGCAGGGCTAGAGCAGAGCCTCACCCAGAGTTGCAAAGCATCTGGGGTGCTGGAGGACTCTGATTTAACTTAAACTAAAAAGGGGTCTGGGACAGACATTGCATAGACCGGTTTGACCCAAATCAGTTAAGTCTGATACTGTATTCAACCAGGTTTATCTCAAACTGGTTTCAGCCTTTTTCAGACTGGTTTATGTGCACTGAACATCTGTTCTGTTCCAGGTTTAAATCAGTTTCTGATCACTTAAACTGGTTTATGTGTAATGTCTGTCCCTAGCCTTTTAGACATGTACGGGCCATGCGTGGGCTTCCAAATGGAATTTTTCAATAAGCTATACTTGAGGAGAGGAAGACTGATTGTTAGTTCACTGCACTGACCAAATGCCTTTTGCCTAGAGTTTTAGATCTGAGTTGCAGAAAGTACGCTGACTTTGATTCACTTTGAGTTTAACTTGAAGGTACTTTGTTTACATTAGCTAACATCTGTTATCTGATATTTTGTTGGATGTTTTCTAGCAATACAGAACATTACATAAATGGAGTTGTCAGGAAGAGGAGGGAATGTTTTTTTTTTTTCACCCTTCCAAAGAAGGGCACGCATCACACTTGACTTCCATATGTAAGGATAGGTTTGGCAGGTTTAGAGGATATATGGCAAGAAACTTCCACATGCATGAGAGCTGTCAGCCCAAGAGGTAGTTTTCTTGACTCATACTTCAGGTTGCTCGATTTTTTACATATGGCATCTTTCCAGAACAAATATTACTTTTGGAATACATAGCCAAATTCTGTCATACTGGTTAACTTACTGAATGTGAAGCCTCAAAATGATATGCTTGATTTAGACTTTGCTAGAGTTTGCAGACCATACATTTTATCAGCAGAGTTTTAAAAATAAAATGCAAAGCAAAAAATTAAAACACTGCTAAGTACATATTTCCAGTAAGGAGACTTTCAGTGCAGAAGGAATCTGGTTAATGTTTCTTTTGCTTTTTAATTTTCCTCTCTATGAAATCTCTTGAAACTTTCAGGATGACTGAAGGAAATCCAGAATATATCATTCTGTGACATTAAAAATACCATTGGTTTCATAAGCTGCAATGAAATTAATATCTGGCATTTTTCATGTCATCATTTGAGAAATCCCTTTTGTTCAATCTCTTTATTTCTTGGCTTACTAAAAGGTAAGTAAGAATTTAAAGCTGGTTGTTTAACGTATTTCTGTGCTGTCAGCTTCATAGCCAAGATAGCATGGGTATTTTGCACAGAAATTTGTGCTTAATTCAGTTTCCACTTTTGCTTTGTGGTTTCCCTTTAAGAAAAAATTTCAGAGAATTAATCTTATTTTATTTTCCTCCCACAATGAATTTCAGCATTCTCTTTTTGTATGGGGTGTTTTAAAAAAGCAGCATTTAAAAATAATGTGCACAACTGCAGCCCTGCAACTGTAGTCATCATGGGCACATCCCCACAAGTGGGAATGTGCATTTCCCTGGGGACAAACAGCAGCAGCACATATTCATACCACTGCTACTTGTCCCTAGGCACACCCCTGTGTGTGCACTTTGGTGCACTGTCAATTGCCCTGGGTGCAGCCAGCACCTGGGCTGGTCCCAGCAGCCTTACCCAGCATCCTGGGGGCCTCCTGGGGCTGCACTGGTGGTGATCCAGGTGTGTGGAGCCTGGCCTGCATGGCTCTGGCTGACCAGGCTCCAGTTTCAGGCGGTGCATGCTGCTGTCACATGTAGCACACTGTTTTTGTTTGTTTGTTTTTTGGTGTGGTTTTTTAGATGCCAGCATTTGAAGCATGGCAAATGGATTAATGTGCTGCCTGCATTTTGCAGTGCCTCAAAAGGCTTTGAGGTGCTACAAACTGCACATTCCTGCGCCATGGTGGTGTAGGCCATGTGTCTGCTTTTAACTCCACTTCGAGACGTGTAACACAATCCAAAGTGCATAAATACAGACTTTGACAAAAAAAAGAAAATGTAGGTAGGATGAAGTCTTTGAATTAGGCAATTTTGGAAATACAGAAACTGCACTGGAATTGGAAGTTCAAAAATGTTAGATTTAAATAAGAGATGGGTCATCACACCGGCCCACAACGTCAAAGTCTGTCCTGAAGAAGCGGGTGCAAGAGGGGAGGGAGTCTTTGTCCTTTTCCTCTTCTTAATGCTATATTGCTTACTTAATGCCAGACTGCAGGCTTTTTAAAGATGGGTCTATTTACATCTGGAAGCATCTTTGAAGATGTATGAAGTTGAACAGTATGTTGTGCGATGATTGTATTGATAGAGTGCACACTGTTTTCATGGCAAATTGTGGTTTGAAATGGACTGTGATTGTGCAGCACTCGTGATTTACTTTCCATAGATTTCATAGATATTAGGGCTGAACTGTTACTTAGGTGCTATTACATTTGTGCTTCTGCAAAGCGTCAGTATGCTGCTCATGCCGCTGGTGTTTGGAGGCAGCTAAGGTGAAATGGGGAAAGGGGTGCTCAAAAGATTCAAAGAAGAAAGTGCTACTCCCAGTTGGGTGGGCTGAAACCTCTGCAGTAATCCCACACATGACACTTGCAAGAATATTTTTGTAGCTTGCAGTGAAGGGCTGTAATCTGCCAGAAAGAATTGGAATTCCTGCGGTGATCAATTCTTAAAACCTTAGATAAATATTGACCAGGTAATAGAGTGATATTTTTTTCTCTCCTGTGATCAATCGAGAAATACCTATCACTATTTTAATACCACCAGAAGGGTGAGTGGTTTCAGTGTCTTTTGGCAAGCTGCTAAAGTCATGGGTCAAATCATGCTGTACTTGCTCACGTGAGTAAGATAAACAGCATTTGGCAGTCAGTGCAGTTAGGCAAGGCAAAATGCTTCTCTTGTTATCAGTGGTTCTCCTGTCCGTCTGTGGCTCTTTGAGGAACGGATAGAAAGATGGGCCTAGTGCAGCTTTCCCTTGTTAGCCTTCAGCTATTGTGGCTGGGTAAGGCTTAGCCAGAGGCTTGGAGCAGAGTCAGGGGAAAAAGCCTTTTTCTCACTGCACCTTTAAGGGTCACAATTTGAAAGCTTCCTAAATTTAAAATGGTTAGAAGCAGCAGAAGGAAGAAGAGGAAGAAAACAAACCGCCCACATGGCAACCTAATTTTAAATTGATGTAGAGATTTATGCAAATGACTCTCATCAGTGTGAGCTACTGTGCCTTGAATAAAGTCTCTAATGCAGAGATGCATTTATACGACTAAAATAATGCCCTTTTTGTAAAGCCCATGAAACGATTTTCTTTGCAACTTTGAACAGTTTTCCACATTCTCATTTGGAATGGGCGGTTTGCAGTTCTCTGCTGCAAGGTAAAAAAAAAAAAAAAAATTGTAAACTCATCCATTTCTAAATGGAGATTCCCTGTATAAAACAACCTCACCCACTTTTACAAAGTCTGCTATCTTTTGTGAACTCTATTTGGCTATCAGTGTGAATACTATCTTGGCCCATTTGGCATTGGTGATACATGACTTGAACATTTTGTACCCTTTTTGTGTTGCCTCTGCAGGACTCCTCACTAATGGCCAATCTAAGGGATTAGGACCAGGATCGGAACAGTTGGAGAATGAGAAAGACGATGCATCACAAGTGTCCTCCACTAGCAACGATGTTAGTTCTTCAGATTTTGAAGAAGGGCCATCAAGGAAAAGGTCAGTGGTGTTTTTACAGTTCAAATAATCTTTTTATGAGCTACATATCAGGCAGATATAAGGCCATACTTATGTTCCCACTACTGCTTGCCTTGGTTTTCTCCCATTTTACCATGAGTAGATATTGAAATATTTTCAGAAACAGAGATAAAGCTTTTTGTGGGTGCTATCTTTTATTGGACCATCTGTATAGTTGGGATGGGCAAGGCTCTAGTGAGACCTGAGGAAGGATACTGTGGTACCCAAAAGCTTGTCCATATTCCTCCCAACTGTACATTTGGTCTGATTTAAAAGATGTAAAAAATCCTTGCATCTAGCATTTTTCCTGGAGCAGCACAGGTGCAACATTACGCTACCACAGTTCAGAAGCTGAGAGTTTAAAGTAACTACAAAGATAGGTTACATGTTGGATCCATCTTTCTGGCTTCTTTTTTAAAGTGAATAATCTGTAGTTTTGCTATGGAAAACATGGAAAGGCTGTTGTCATTTTGCAGTGAGTGACTATTAAATGAAATGTCTAGTCATAGTCTTTTTAGGTACCTTGTAGTGTAAGTGTCACTGTTCAGTACATACAAATGTAATTTTTTGGACAGGCTACATTGGTGTCATTACATTAGATTTGCCGTTAGTTTACTTTGATTGAAGACATGTTCAAATGGTTTAAAATACATAGATCCTCTGAAAATAGTAGTTGTACAGTAAGCTTCACTATGAGGATGTGGGTTATTGTCTGTAAGGACTACTTTGAGATAATGATGTGGCAAGCTGGCCTCTATTTCCTAGAAGTCAGTTATGAAATCCTTATTGAACTCTCATTATGCTACAATCTTGGCCAATTTCCTCATGTGCAAAATGTGGGTTAAAATTGCAGGATTAGAGCCAATTTCATGTAGAAAATATGCTGCAAGTGCAAGCAGAAGTCTGGAATTTTGTCTCATAAAATGAGAACAAAAACTGGTTCCCTGAAAAAATGCAATTTACCAAAAGGCAAACCCACACCCGTCCCCAAAATCCGAACTTACCACCCCCCTCACAAACTGAAATAGGTTTAAAGTGGGGTTCCTCCTGAAACCGCCTTCTTCCACATTCCTATTTCCTAGGTAACTTTAAACAGTTCTTTGGGAGATCTGATGTGGAGGAAGAGAACGGCCCCCTCAAATTAAATGAAAAGATTCTGCTTTCGAATGTTTGCCTGGCTGATGCGTGTATTTCAGGACAGGATATGCACTGGTTGCTCTGTATTGATAGAAACTTTGCAAGGACTTAATACAGCTACTCCTCACTTAACATTGTAGTTATGTTCTTGAAACGTGACTTTAAGCAGAACAATGTTAAATGAAGCCAGTTACGTCACAGTAGTTACGTACTAGCAGGTGGCAGCCAAACAACATTATCACCGAACATTGCGCAACTTTAAACGAGTATGTTCTCTAATGGATCAGCAACGTAATAATGAAACAACGTTAACTGGGATGACGTTAAGTGAGGAGTACCTGTACAGTACAGCATTGCTCGTGGGGAACTTTCAGCTTTTTATCAGGCATAAGTCAGGCTTGAAAGATTTTTCTGCTTTGAAATTTAAGTGTTGTGTGTGCAGTACTTGAGAGACTCAGTATTTGATTTAGGAATGAGTCAGCTTCTGACATCACACATTCTAATGAAGTGAATTTGAGCAATCAAGAAGAAAGGTCTTTTTATTTGGTTGGTTTTAGAAATGTTGGTACAAACATTTTGTTAGCTCTTGTTTACTTCTAACACCCGAGAGAAGGCCCTTGTGACTAGTTGAACACCATGACTGTTTCAGTTTAGGTATGTGGAAGTCCTTACTCCAATTTTCTTGGTCTCCAAGGATTGAAATCGTGGAACTTGATACCTTTGATACTTTAAAAGGATTTTTTTTCTTTAAAAAAAAAAAAAACACAAAACATAACTGAAACCCCCCCAGAATTCTGCAGGTTTTTGTGGAAGTGGGGGAAACATTTAAGTTCTTCTTTCATTACTCATGAAGTACCATAAATGTATTTATTTATTTATTTTTGCCCTTGCAGGCCACAATTATACAGAACTCGCCTATTTTCTTCCTCCCCTATTCACTTCTTGGCATTCATGCACAACCTGCCTTCTGTTCTGCATTCTGCTTCTTTCAGAATACTCTCTTCCCCACCTACCACCTTTGAGACCCATCTTGACAGTTTCTCTAACTCCTCTTCTCTCAGCATTGTATCTGGTACCATTTTGTTTTCGTGCCTCTGAGCTGAAGACATTTTAGGAAATTATACCCTATGGTCAAACTTCTCAGTGTTCCTTCCTTTACAGCTTACTGTAGCAAGATGGATGTCCTGCTGCTATCTGAAATTTGCATTTAAACGAGGGACGTGCCAATACCAGACTAGCCACAATTTTCTCACTCCCGTAACTAAAATGTGCATTGTCCTTAGTATTCTAGAAATGCCATGTCTTCCAGCTGCAAGCACATAGAAGAGACCAATTTTACTGGTTTGCAGAGACAGTGAAGTGTACAGCTTCGGGAGTCACGCTGTTTAATAAAGCAGGCTTAAGGTCCTGTAGCACTGTCTGTTTGAACTGGGGATGTATGCAAACCTTCTTTTCAGGTTGTTGTTTTTCGCAGGGGAGAGAGGTCTCTTGTGAAATATGACTGTCTTTTATACAGGTGGAGAGGTTACCTGTATCCTATAGCATTAGCTTTGTGTTATTTGCTGATGACAATCATGGCAAGAAGTGGAGACCTCTGGTGTAAGACTTGTTGGTCATAGCCTAGGAATCTAAAATAATCATTCTAATTGAATTTCAATTCAGATTCGTTTCAAAAGATTCCTCTTTACTCATCACACGCTCCCCTTCTTCAAAGCCTTTTTACAAATTGCATTGTTGTTTAGTCTTTATTTCTTCTTGAAGTTCCAATCAACTTTGGTGTTACCTAAAGTGAACTGGGCTTACTGATGGTGCTGCTGTATACGTTAATGTGCAGGCATTGTTTATGTGTAAGATAAAAGGGAGAGTAACTGTTTAAAAATATGGGCTTTTGGGGAAATGTCTTGACTCCTGAGACTTCCACAAAAATGACAAGCTCTGAGCTACATGGAAGTCTTGATTCTGTGGGGTCTGCAACCTTGAAATGGCATGATGGGAGAGAGAAGTGCTGATCCTTTAAGGTTATAAAGGAGGCAGTTAAGGAGATGACTGCTTGTCTGATGTTTATATGCTATGCTGTGCATGTCTTTGATCCAGACTACAGAGGGAATGTCTGTGAGTGTGCAAGGGCTGCTTTTTAATATCCAGCTGTTACACGGGCGTGAGTCTTCAGCAGCAGTTGGAATTTCACTCTCTTCATACCATGCCAATGATTTGATTGTTCTGAAACATTCTGAAATTGTCTCAATGACATATTTAATTTAGCTGTGGAACAGAGGCCTTGGCTACTCGCAGAATGCACCATGGGAAGGTATACATCTTACAAATAGTGCCCACACCTGCAAACTGAACAGTGCCCTGAACTCTGCATTACAAACAATAAATGGCTACCCAGTATATATGCAACGAGAAAACATGTTCATCTTGGCAGGAGCCCCCCCTCATAACACCAAGAGGTCTGGAATACTGCATGACCTAGCAATCAAAGCCCAGCAGGAAGACCATCCACTACATGAGATGATTGAAAAATACCCAATGCAGAAACATGTAAAAAGCATAAAGCCCTTACCAATATCTGCCAGAAACATTAGAGGAAGCAGGACACACCATACTGTCATCATGGCCCCAGAGAAGGTGGGACGAGCAATGGAATAACAATCGCACCCTACTACATAACTACATACAACTACCATCTTCAAACCCTCCTGGTCCTAAACTCCCACGTAAGGCATAGGTAAACCTGAATCAGCTGTGATCAGGCTATGGAGCTTCCAACAAAATAAAACAAAATGAGCCTTACAAACTCACTATCATGCCCCTGTGGCAAAGGAGATCAGACAGCCCAGCATACATTACCTCACTGCTTTCTATATGGTCCACCAGAGGGAGTGAACAGTCTGAAAGACTGCAGTAATATTGATGGATCTATTCTTAAATGGTTGGAGGAGTCAACTTTCTGAAGTCATACACAAGAAGAAGAAGAAAGATTTTATTGTTCTGAAATTTCTTGGGAAAGATAAGAGACTGGACTTTTCCTGTGAGAGTGGCTGGGCAGAGAACTCCAATCGTGTACTTGTTGAAACTATGTAAAAATTGTCTTTTAAGGAATCGGAGCACAACTCCACCTAGGGCAAAAATGGAGGAGGGAAATTATAAAGGCTACCTTATAAAACAGCAAAGTTGCTCTGCCTATTTCTTAGACCATGCCTACACAGGAGTTTTAAAGGCTGTGCCTGTAGACTCCCTCCCCCTCCTCCCCCCATCTCCTTTCTCTTCTGGACATTTATTTGAGCATAGAAGTGACTTCTTTTTGTTTTAGTTTAAACCCCTTCCCGAGTGACAAGCTGAACCAAAAGCTACTTTTACACTGTAATAAGTGCATACACGGTGGTGAGATGGGGGAAAGGAAGGGAGGTTTAGGCTAGAGTAACTTTACACTAAATTACACTGAAAGAAACGTTTTTGCGTACACTGCTGTTTCTTAGCAAGAGCAGCATGTACGTGGTCTGCACAAGCTTTTAGGCCAGGTACAGACTTTACACTTTGCCAGTATAAGTGATCGAAAGCTGGTCTTTACCTGCAACAGAACAGAAGTTTGGCACACACCGACTGATTTAAAAATGGCAGAGCCCAGCATAAGATCCCCCCCCCTTCCCAAAATATGTGCATTCTGTTTGCTATGGATCTAAACTATTCTGCTTACAGGAAACTGTGCAACTTAGTTTGCTTCCTACTTGGGCTTTTTGAATGTCTGTACCTAGCTTTGATGTCACTGAATCTGCTAAACTGGTTTAAGGCCTTTCCTTCAGTTTGGCTGGAGGCTGTTTTTGGGCAAAGCTAAATTTGCA